TCCTTATGCTGGATTCGTTTATCTTGAAATGGCAGGCAACCATAGCTGCATACCTCAATCTACACTACGTATCAAGCAACTCAACTTTTCTTGTAATGTTATGACTTTTCTCTGCTTCTTGGGAGCACTTCCAGCATCACTAGTGGCACTTCATACAAGTTCCATGAGTTATTCAAGGTTTCCAGTATTGTACTAAACAAGGAAAAATATGAGAACTGCAAGAGATCATTTTTTACTTCGATATCAATTTACTGGAAATGAACTGCTCACGTTGAGATGATTAACGTCATTGGCATTTTAGGCAGATACTTGCAACACTTGATCTCATTGCAATAACAGGAGGTGTTTAAAAAATTATTACAGTATTATAGCATGTAGTACAGTTAATTTTATGCAGTAATGATTTAATACGGCATCTTTACATTTGTTTACATCTCTTGACTGTGAATGACACCATGTACAGTCTTAGTGTGCATACGTTTTGGTAAATTTTAACTTTTTATAATAGATTTGTGTATATTTTATGGTAGCAAATGATAAAATAGGCTAGTACCTACATATATTTTATGCATTCACAACATACCTTTTTCTTAATTTTTCAATATTTCTAAGCTACACAGTTCATCTGCAAGTTTTTTCAAGTTTTCGCAGATCGCAAAACATTTTTCCAATATATTTATTGAAAAAAAATCTGCATATAAGTGGGCTCACACAGTTCTAATTACAGTATTGTTAAATGATTAACTGTATTTACAAACCAGGCAGCAGGTCAGATTTGACCCATGAGCTACAGGTTGCTGACCTCTGATCTACACCAATATCCTCTTTATCAATCTTTCAATAGCCTCCTAGTATTTTCTGTTTGATTCCCTCTCCCAATACAAGTTTGCGCTGTACTTCTAGACAACAAATATCTAGATAAAAAATACTGCTCGCACTTGTGAACCTATTTAAAAAATTTAATATTAAAATGTTAATGACATAATATTGTTGAGTCAATCTTCTCAGGGATAATCACTGTCATGTGAAAACACTCCCTACATGCCACATTACATAAACCTTTTAATTGAAATGTTTTCAATTGGCAAAATTTTGATAGTCCAAAAGGATTTAAAAAAAGCTTTAATTTAAAATCTATTATTCTTAAAAAAAAAAATTCATACTGTGAGACTCCTTTGTTTAAAAACCTTTGTTAGCTTACCACTTCCCTAGAACAAACTGTATAGCACACAAGGTCATTCATAAATTGGCCCAACCAGCTCTCTGATTTTATTTCTTACCACTTTCTATTCAATCTTTCTATATAAGAATAAAAATGGCAAATAATACTGTATGAAAACTATCAGAAGGAGCCCTGGCTGGTGTGACTCAGCTGGCTGAAGTGTTGTCCTGTAACCAAAAGGTCATGGGTTTGATTCCCAGTCAGGGCAAATGCCTAGGGAACAGGTGGGTCACCGGTCAGGGCGCATACAAAAGGCAACCAATTGATGTTTCTCTCTTTTAAAGATGTTTCCCTCCCTCCCTCTCTCCTCCTCTCTTCAAAATTAATACGCTGAGGATTAAAAAAAAAACAAAAAACAAACTTTCAAGAGGAGATAAACACCAACTTTAGGGCACTGATTACTTCTGAAAAGGGGAGAAGATACTAGGGAAGAGAGCCCTAGGGACTTCAACTATCACTGAGATGAATTTTTGAAATGATGATAATGAAAATATTAAATAAAGCAAAGATCTGATGTAAATATGTCAAAATTAAGATTAGACAAAGCTAAGTGGTGGGTAATAAGAGTGCTCCATCATTCATCATACTTTTCTATTTGCTTAAAACCGGTGTTGACAAACTATAGTTTGTGAGCCAAATCTGTTCCACTGCCTGTTTTTGTCAGGCTTGGAGCTAGGAATGGTTTTATATTATACAAGGGTTCTTTAAACAAGCAAAAAAAAAAAAAAAAAAAAATGAAGAAGACAGCCTGGCCGGGTAGCTCAGTTGGTTGGAGAGTCATCCTGATACACCAAGGTTGAGGGTTTGATACCTGGTCAGGGCACAAGAATCAACCAATAAATGTCTAAATATGTGGAACAACAAATTGATCTCTCTCTCTCTCTCTCTCTCTCTCAAAACCAACTAATAAAAAAAGACTGTGTTGACAGAGATTTTGTGACCCACAAAGCCTGAAATACTTACTATCTGGACCCATACAGAAAATGTTTGCCAACTCATTTAAAATATTTTATGAGAAAACAAAGGATTTTTTTGTTGTTTTTTAAGTAGAGACAACTGAGTCAAGGAAGAATGGTTTTGCTTTCTTGCATTAAATATAGTCCTAACTTTTATATTTTTATATTAATTGTCTTTAAATTAGCTTTTCATTAATTACTTTTTCCACTTTTATCAATAAGAAGTCTCCTCAAATTCTATGTTATTCTATGATATGGGCACTTATTTAAAGACTAATGGTAGAGTCTTTTAATAAGATTGTGATTTCAGTCCATACTTATTTAAAAACTGGGAAGCTCATTGAGAGCCCACTGTGACATTTTTAGGGAGCTGTATTTAGATTGGGGGTGTCACAGAGGACCTGTTCATGAGCTGGCAGCCAGGGACATAGGAAAGGTGTTATACAAGACTTGTTCTTGGCTTCAGGTTCACATTTTCTACTATCTATAGCCCATCTCTTTTAGAAGAATTTTATCTCCTTAGCACATAAGAACTGTTAACTCTTATTATGATTATTTTGGGGTTTCTATATAGGTATTTTCTCTTCTTTAAAAAATATTAAGCATATTAGTATTGCCTGTGTACATGAAAAGACTTTTTCTTAGTTTTGTAATTAATTTTCATAGTTTCTCCCACCATCACTGACTCAAGTTAAAGACATTCCCATTTGTGAATCAATAATTGAGAAGACTCATACAGAAATTTCACAGAAATGCTCAGTGACACATCTGAGGACATTTAGACCTAAATCATCATCTAATAACCTTAAATATGTACTGTCTTAAACCTTAGTGTCACTCGTAATTAAAAATGGGCACAGAACAACACCTACAAAACAAATATGAGATAAAAATTATTCATCTGATCACAATATATATTGGGTTGGCCATAAAGTTCGTTTGGTTTTTTCCGTAAGATAAGTGTAAGTAGCACTTAGTTGTCTTTAATTTCCCTTGAAAGAATTTTGTTAGATTGCATTGTGATACCTGTCATATCAATGTGCATTAAAAAAAAAAAATTGTTGTATTTTTGTGTAGCCATTTTAATATTGAAGATAGAAGAAAATATACAACATTTTTGGCATATTATGCTTTATTATTTCAAAAAAGGTAAAAATGAAGCTGAAATGCAAAAAAAAAATTGTGCAGTGTATGGAGAAGGTGCTGTGACTGACTGAATGTGTCAAAAATGGTTTGTGAAGTTTCACACTGGAGATTTCTTGCTGGACGATACTCCATGGTCTGGGAGACCAGTTGAAGTTGATAACAATCAAATCAAGACATTAACTGAGAACAATCAACGTTGTACCATGCAGGAGACAGCTGACATGCTCAAAATATCCAAATTGATCAAGTTATTGGTGAGAATGAAAAATGTATTTTATTTTACGGAAAAAACCACACGAATGAGAATGCTAAAATATGTAATTGTTTTTTAATATGGCCACATATATGCCACCTCTAATATTCGACTTTTTAAAAAAAATCTACTGTATTTAAGATACACAAAAAGGCATAAACATAGGACAAAATACTTATAATCTACCAGATTATGAAAGAGAACTTTATTAATACTACTGAGGTCCCCTGTGTATCCTCAGTTCAATAGCTCTTCCTTTCCCCAGGGATTAACCATTGTCCTGAACATTGGTGTGGGGTGTATCCATGTATTCCTTCATACTTTTTGTACAAATGTACATATCATTAAATAATTCATATCATTATTTTACAACTCATTTGTTAATTTGGCTTTATGTCTGAATTCACATGTTGACATGTATGGTATATTTATGTGGTAGAGATACTGCTCATCAAATATTCTATATGCTTCGCTGCGTTTCTTAGCCTTTAGATAGAAGTCACTGGAATGTGAGCAGAAGGAAAGTGTTATGTGCAAGGCAAGGTGGTTAAAAGCACTGTCTCTTCCCCTTCCTCAGCGAACTCAAAAGCCACATTTTTTATATAAGTCCATAGAGCAGCTTTAGGAACATGGTGTGTCCATCAGCTTGGGATTCCAAGTGACGGGGAGCAGAGTTTCTAGCTAACCCATGTTGGACATACAAAATGAACAAGAAACAGTCCTGTTTGCTAAGACAAACACAAAAGGAATATTTCTGGGATTATTCAAAAGCAATGCTGTTAGTAGCAGGGTAGATTCAAAGCCTTTTGAAAATACTTCTATCCTATGACTCTACATTGATATTTACTCCCACTTGCATGAAGAATCAAATCTCATATACCCTAGTCTTTCCCTTCTTTGAAGACCTACGGCAGTAACAATATTTTCAGATAAATGCCTACATGTTCATGTACTGTCTCCTGTATGTTAATTTTGTTTCCCTGATTAGATTTTAAGCTCTTCAAGAAGCATGTCTTTTCTTTTGTACCCTCACACTACACCTTCTAGTCTACATACAGGCATGCAGTAATGACTGGTCTACTGTTTTGATCGGAGGATGAGAACTAATATTAAATGCCCACTTTGTGTGCAGTACCTTGGTTATGCTTCACATGTTATCTTGATCCTTATTCTTTCCATTATATAAATAAGGATATTAAGGCAAGTAACTTTCCTTTGGTCACAGACCTGGGAAGAAGACAAAGGGTGTGGGGAGAGCAGTTGAAACTGGTCTGCTTGACTCTAAAGCCTTTACTTTTTTAGCCTTTTTTCATGAAATTTAGGAGAATATAGAATAGATAACAAAAAGGTTTTCTTTATAAATTTTACAAACATCAAAACACTTTTTTGGAGACTTTGAGGTCGCAAGATTGTTGGGTCTTACCTTGATCACTTCTGGGGTCTGCTGAATCAAAACCACTGAAGTAGTATCTTTGGCTTTATCACCAACAGGACTTCTACAGACTGATAAATTGGCGGGGGAAGAAGATGTCAAGGTTTCCTGTAAAATTTGCATCATTTCCTTTTCTTGTGATAGGCTCCCTCTACCTGATTTGCATTCGACTAGTTCTTGAGCAAAGTCTTCAATACTTTCTAGAATTCGTAGTAAGAGGGCTCGATCCTCTTCCTCAATTTTGTGTCCATTGGTTTCAATGATCTTTGTAAGACAGGAAGGTGACACTTTTTCTGTGGGTGAAGAGACTTTAGATTTAGGCTCAAGATCTAGAGGGACCTGATCAGTCACCTGATTATTATTATTTAGACAGTTAGAGCTTTTACCTTTGGCAAGTGGCTCTCTTAGAGAGGTCTCCATTTTCTGTGAAAAAGATTCCAAATCCATTAACAATTTATCTATCTCCTCCTTACTGTTAGAATTCATAAAATCTCTGTGGATTTCCTCTTCCACTTTAGGAACTTTTGACTTAAGATCTTCCTTAGGTATAACAACAACTGGTTTCTCAAATACCTTACCAATTTCATTTTGCACTGAGGCAGGACATTTTTTAAGATGAGTACTATGGTCTGAAAATTCTGCTCTATCTTCATTTACCTTTAACAACTCCTGACTGAGTCCATTCTCTGTCCTTCGTCCTTTATCTAATGCTTTCTTTCCATCGGACTCTTCTTCAATATAAAGGGTCTCCATTAAGTCACCAGAAGAAACATTTCCTAAAGCGTTCATGATTAATGACCGTGACTGAAGCTGGACATTGTTTAGAGTTTGGGGATCATTTATCTCTAAGTTATATGTGGAATTTGTAGAGTTGTTTGGAATGGATTTTACAGTGTCTGTTTTCCTAGAACTATGCTTTTCACCTTGCGATTCTACAGTTTGAAACTGTCCAGGATCAGGAGCTGAGAGCTGGACAACATCTTCATATTTAGGGGGCTGCTCAGTGCCAAATATTGGGGAGAAAGGGGCCAGCTGTAAACTAGGCATATTAACATATTCTGTTAAATCTATAGCCTCATTATTCCCAGACTGCATGAATTCCAATGGTAGCTTTTTCAGATAGGATGCTAACCTGGTCATTACATTCATGTAGACAGTTTCAGAGCTAGAAACTGCATCATTACCATTTCCTTCATTGATGCTACTTGCTGACTTTTTCTTTATACATTGTTTTATAATGTCTGTGCATTTTTTCAAATCCTCAGAGCATTTCAGCAAGATATCCAAGCACATCTTTATGTCTGTTCCAGAAGAAAAATGATCTATTTTATGTTTTTCCAAAATCTGAGTAACCAGGTCTTCTTCAGAGAAGTTGTGAAGAAACATTGAAGTCAGGTTCATATCAAGTGAGTTTCTATGGGACAAAGATTTCTCCTCAACTGAGGAACTCCGGAGTAAACCAAAGGATGAGGCGTTCCCATCACTGTTATAATGGCCACAGAGCAAGTCAAAATCAACTGATCTCCTATTAAATGAGTCAGACTTAACTTTCCTTCCCTTTCTGTAAGCTGCATGGTTAGAGTTTTTGAGTTTTTCAAGGGAAAATTCTTTTATTTTCCCACTGGCGAAACTGATTGCTTCTCCTGCAATGTCCTTTAAGTTACAGGTATTCTGAAATGTAGATCCTTTCTTGACCTTGGGTATGCCTGTGAGGGCCTGATGGGGATAGTCACTTTCAGCTGATGAAAACCCATTTTCATGGGATAAAAACATGGAGTCCAGATCTGCATCTTTGAACTGAGACACAGGGATGTGTAAGAGGTCTGCACAAACACTATGATGTATCACAATGCAGTCAACTCCATGTGCGAAGGTGTGGCAGGTTCCAGTGCAATAATGAATAGCTTGCTCAAAACGTCGGTCTATCACCACACTGCTGTAGTGGTTCACAGTACTAACCACAAGTCTGTAAGTTGCTGCCATAATATCAAATCCACTTAGTGGTGGGACTTGGAATTTTCTAGAACTTGTTTCAAGTAAATTCACCTAAATGACAGTCAGGCTGAAAATATATTTGACAATGTTCAGTGGTTTCTTGCAATTATAGCAACCTCTCCCACAAAGAAAAACCATCTAAATTTGAGGTTTGGTAACTGTCAGGATACAGTAGCTGTTGCACATATGTACTTGTAGTAGCAAGTCTAATAATTTAATAATTGTGCTTTTTAGTTTTATTTAGTAATATCATGATAAGAGTATTTTTATAAAAAATATCCTCCTTTAGTTCTTCAGCAATTCTATGACAGAAATTTATTGTCATAAATTTACTATCATAAATCTTAGTTGGTAGTATAGAAGTATGGTGTTAACTGAGTCCTCCAAAGGTATAAATGATCCATTTTTTTTTCTGCGAATGAAGAAACCTATAAAGAAAAAAGAAAATAATGAAAAGGAAATATGCTTTCTTAATACGGAATCTTTTATTTCCTCTTCTTTGCATCCCCTATGCAGTTAATTACCAAGCCTTATTCTTTGCCATGTCACTGACTGCTGATCTTTGATTCATGCCTTTGTTTTATCACACTGTATACTCCTTACTCCCTAGAGAAGTGTTACTCAACTCTGCCTTGTTACAACTGCCTCCAAGTTGGTATTTCTTATCCCACTCTTCTTGCCACTTTACAGGAAACAAGTATTTCCATCAAAGTACTTGTTTGACAACACAAATACTTGTTCTTGATCTACAACTTCCTCTACACTTAGAGAAAAAAAAAAAAAAACTTCATTACTGCTCTTGATTCCAGACTCTCAAGCCCTGCATTAGGCAGATCTCTCTCTCTCTCTCTCTCTCACCATCAAGCGGATACAATTTACTTAATCACTCTCTTACTTAAAAAAAAAAAGAAGGCTTGAAATCATGGTGTAGTTGCTTTCCGAAAAGTTTCAATCAATGTGCTCACTCAATCAATAAATACCGAGTGCCTAATACATGCCAGGCATTTGCTAAATGCTGGGGATATGGCAGTGAATAAAATAAAGCCTCTGGCCTTACGGAGCTGACAATCTAGTTGGAAAATGAAGAACAATATGTAAGTTAACATGTAACTTAGACAGTGATATGTGCTATGAAGAAAAAGAAAGTAGGGCAAGGATTTGGAAAGGAAAGGAGGATGCTGTGTTACAAAGGGCAGTTAGGAAAAACCTCGCTAACTCATTAATAGACAGCCGAAAGAAGAGAGGGAACAAGCTGAAGAGGTATTTGGGGGTTAAATCATATCAGACACATTAACTGTAAGTGCAAAGGCCCTGAGTGGAACCATGCTTGATTTACTGTAAGAGTAACAGGAAGCTAAAGTGACTGGAGCAGAAAAGGCAAGGGAGGGAGCAGTGTGGGAGATTAGGTCAGAAAGGAAAGGTAGGAATTTAAATCATGCAGGGTCTGTAGACTACTATGATGAATTTGGCTTTACTATGCATGAGCTTGGAAACAACTGATAGCTACTGAGCACAGGAATTACATGATCAGATTTACATTTTAAATTGGTAATTTTGGCTGTTATGTTCAGAGGAGACTATAGAGGAGCAAGATGAGAAGCAGGGGAAAAGTTAGGGGCTATTACAATAGATTAGGCAAAGAAGCTAAGGGTAGAAGAGTAACTAGAAGAGTGGACTAGAAGAGTAACAGTGGAGGTGTTTAGATGCTGTATATATTTCAAACATAATGCAAATATGATCTGTGGAAAGACAGACTGTGAGATACTACTGTACAAAGAATGATGCAGTAAGGCAATGACAGGAAGGAGATGGTGACACTAGTAAAGAAGATCAATAGTGCCAATACACCATCAATAGCACTGGTTTTTCAATAATAAAACTTTTACCAAGTTACTAATGAGAAACAGAACTTCGTGTTTTCCCTTTTAGTTCTTCAATCCTAAAAACTGTTTTTGCTTATTCTTCTTCTTTGGTAAGTTGTCTATTGCTCATTTAGGCATTAGAGACTTAGTAAATACAAATATAATTAATGCAATTAATTCATAAAGAACCTTTTCTTTTGTTAAATTCTTAAACTGGTTAGAGTATATTTCCTGACTTTTTGGATCCAATGATTACTCTGTTTTTGTGCCAGTCTTACATGATTTTGATTACTGTTGCCTTATTAAGCTTTATTATCTGGCTGTTTCCCATATCTCTAATTATGTTTATCTTTAATACTCCAAATAGTCTTTGATGGTCTTCCAGATGAATTTTTGAATTGTCAAGTTTTAAGAAAAATCCTATTGGAATTTGGTTACAATTGCAATTATTTTGAAGGAACACTAGTATCATTATACAGATTTTCCACTCAGAAAAATGAAAATCTTAATTCCAATAATATTCCTTTATTCCTCTCTTTGTGGTTTTCTTCAGGTAGGTCACTCCCATTCTTGTCCTTCAGCGTCTTAACTTTGCTGCTATGTGAATGGATCTTTGTTGCAATTCTCATCCTCCTGCACTTCCTTGTATTCCAATTTCAGATGGCTCATATAAAACCACAGAATTAGATATCATGCAGGATGGATGAAGCTGAAGCAGAAAGAAGTTCCACAGTAAAAAGGTGCCCAGTAATTCTTAAGTGAAAATACAAAGAAGCCAAAGAGAATAGTGCTGTGGAACAAAAAACCAGAACATGGCAATGAAAGGAATTACCATTTCAAAAGATGCACATCTAGAAGAGGGAAGAAATAGCAGCAAACATGAAAAACTGTGCACCTTTTAAGAAATCCAAGGATTTGAAAGTGCTTTTGGGTAAGGATAAAAAGAGAAGGAAAACACAAAGGATACTGCTGGGAAAGAGTATTAGGATAAGTGTGTGAAAGATATTAGGACCCTATCTTAATACAGGTGATAAAACTGATCCAGGGACAAAAATACATAGGTGCTGGAAAATTCCAATATGCAGACACCTATTAAAACACAACAGATAAAGTCCTAAACTGGCATAAAACTATTTTATTTCTGTAAAAATTTGAGAAATTAAAGAGAAGTATTTACGTAGGTTTGAATATAACTAAAACAACTAGTTGGTAATATAACATGATGGAAAACATAAGAATGTAATCGTGTAATATTAGAATTTGATATAGTCAAGGAAGAAAGAACACTGGCCAAAGTCAGATATGTGCTTTTTGACCAGCGTTGCCCAATAAAAACTTTTCTGTGTTGATGGAAATATTCTCTGTCTGTGCCACCTGATGGAGCTGATATGGCTGACATTAACCACAGCTACTTCTGAGCACTTTAAAAGTGAGTGGTGTAGCCCTGACTGGTGTGGCTCTGCTGGCAGGGCACTATCCCACAAGGTGAAAGTCACGAGTTCGATTTCCCATCAGAGCACGCACAAGAGGCAACCTATTGATGTTTGTCTCGCACACTGATGTTTCCTTTTCTTTCTCCCTCTCAATCAATCAATCACCAATCTTTCAAAAAAGTGAATAGTGTATGTAGCTGGAGAACTGAATTTCGATTTTATTTAATTAAAGTGTTTAATCTTGAAATTAATTTACAATCAGAAAGAAGTTGCAAAAATAGCATAGAAAAGTTGATTTGTACCTTTACTCCAGTTTCCCTTACATTACCATAGTACAATGATCAAAACCAGAAAACTGATATTGCTACTATTAACTGAGCTACAGATCTTATTTGGATTTCAGCAGCTTTACGTGTACTCACTCCTTTTCTATCCTTTCTCCCTTCTTTTTATAGTAAGCACTACCACCACAATCAGGATACGAACTGTCCCAATGCTTCCCACTGAACTCCCCAGACCACTCTTCTGTAGTCACACAGTCATCCCAATCCCAATTTTTTGTGACCACTGATTTGTTCTAAATCATTATAATCTTGTCATTTCAAGAATGTTTTAGGTATGGAATTATACACATAAAAGCTTTTGAGATTGGTTTCTCTCACTTAACATAATGATTTTGAGTCATTCACTTTACCGTATATATCGACAGTCCACTCCTTTTTACTGCTGACTAGTATGCCATTATATGGCTATATCAGTTTATCTACCCATTTACCCAATAAAAAATATTTCTGTTGTTTCCGGTTTTTGAATATTAGTGCAGAGCTGTTTTTGTTCACATAATTTTAATTTCTCTACAGTAAATATCCAGGAGTGTGACTGCTTGGTTGTGGGGTAAACATATCTTTATAAGAAACTGTTGAACTGTTCACCAGAGTGTCTGTACTATTTCACATTCCCACAAGCAATGTATAAGAGACACGGTTGATTCCACATCCTCTTCAGCACTTGAGGTTGTCAGTGTTTTCTGTTTTAGCCATTTTAATAGGTGTGTAGTGTTAGTGTATTGTGACTTTAACTAACATGTTTCCCCAATGGCTAATGATATTGAACATCTTTTCCTGTGCTTATCGACCAGCCCTGTACCTTCTTTGGAGAAGCACTGTTTAAATCTTTTCCCCATTCTAATTAATTTTAATTTAAAAAGCCACATGTGGCTAGTGGCTACCATACTAAACAATGTAGTTGCCAATAATAAAAATGTAGGTTACGGAAATTCTGACTTAAAAAAAACCCAGCCCTGTCCAGTGTGGCTCAGTGGATTGGGTGCCTTGCCTGTGAACTGAAAGGTTGTCGGTTCGATTCCCTCTCAGGGCACCTGCCTGGGCCGCGGGCAGGGTCCATACCCCATTTGGGGGTGAACAAGAGGCAGCCAATTAATATTTCTCTCCCTCCCTTCTCCTCTCTCTGAAAATAAATAAAATAAAATCCTTAAAAAAACATAAGAGGAAAAGGAAGATAAAGCAAAAATGAAGACTGGTGGGTTTTAAAAGTGGAATTTGGTGAAATTGTCATAAGTAATCTTACTGAGGAAGACAAGTGGTGAAAAGAAGAGTTAAAAAATGGACATGGACAACAGTGTGGTGATTACAGGGGGAAGGGGGATATAAAGGTGTTAAATGGTAGTGGTAAAATAGAATAAGAAATTTCTTAAAAAGAGTTAAAAGAATAACTCAAATTTAATTTTTTTTTAAATGCCAAAGAAACAGAGATTACTTCCCTAGTACATGGTTCAGATTTATGGGTGTCACACTCTGCCTTTTTATTCAGACCATGATTCAACAGATGCCTAATTGTCCAGCAAGAATCCCCAACATGGAATCTAATCCAACTGTTCTCAATCAGAGATATAATCTAACTCAGAACCGTGATGCTATCTTACGTATCTAAGTGCAAGTCAGGCTGCATGGGTTTCAATCCCTATACTGCCGCTTATAGCTTTGTGGCCTTACATAAAAAGGTGGTTAACTTTTGCAGCCTGTTTCACCTGCAAAATGGAGATAATAGTACCCATCTCATAAGGATTCGGTTAACATGTCAAATGCTTAGAACAGTATCTAAGACACAGGAAAT